ACTTCCGTAACGGATCTTCTGCTTCCATCGAACCAGAAATGGCAAGGAATGCGTACAGTTGGCCGAATACGTTACGAAACAGGCCAGAAAGCGCCAGTGAAAACTGACTCATTTTATAAAGTATGTTTTGGCCCCATTTCAAAATTGGTTCATCTGCTTCCAAAAAATTAGGCACAATTTGATTTATTATTTTGTACGTCCCTCTAAACGTATTTTTCTTTTTCTTTTTTCAGCCTATTGCAAGGCGGCCATTTGAATCGGCGCCGCTGGTCATCCCAAAAGTTCTGCAAAAAGAACTTCCGTATCGTTTGAAGCCTAAAGTTGCGCAAGAGTTGCGGAAAAAGGAGGAGAAATTAGTCGAACAACATACAGCAGTTATACTGGAGCCGCACGAAAGCAAAGTAAATTTTCTATGTTCTTTTTTCCCGTCCTTTTAAAATAACAATGTATTGCAATAAAAATGAGAAATGTTTTTTATAGATACATCAATTTATGGAAATGGTGGACACGCTGTACGAAGAGAAACAGAAAAAAGATAGGCAGGCGCTTGAGGAGCGTGTCAAAAAACATCGCCTGGTAAGGCATTTCGTTTTTTTTTTCCCACTTTTTCATCATAATGACAGCTAGAAATTTTTGCTAGAAAAAAAAGGTTTTAGAGTTGCCAAAATACTGAATGAGTGAGCAATTATTTAGCCAGTAAAGCTGGGAGGCTGAAATTTTAAGTGGATGTTCCCAGGCTAAATACAGCTTAAAGATATCAAATTCAACCCCCCAAATTCATCCCTCCTTAAGTAGGGGCCCGTCAAAATTTTTGCGGTTATTCATGTTTCTGTCATCAATGCAAGTAAAGCAATGCGCTTGGTCCTTTTCTTTCAGCTTCACTGGGTACGGATGGAAACATGCGAGGCTGTAGCATAACTTATTAAACTAACCCCACCGTGGGTTAAAGTTTTCAGACAATGGCCGTTCCACATTTTTCATGCTTCGGACCGTCCACACTTGTTTTAAATACTACAGTTCAGCCTACCTCTGGCCGCAGATTATTTTAACAAACTTATCCCACCCTTGGTTTAAACTCTCTGGCTCCTGCCGCTCCACACTTTGTTTCTTTGTGGACCGTCCAGTTGTTTTTAAGATTACGATTCGGCCCGCATTTTATTATTCATGTATGCGGTTTAGGGAGGCGAAATACGAGTAGATTATTTTTGCAATTATTTTCGCCGGATTCTTGATTCACACTCTTTTTTTCTAATACTTCTCTCCCTCCCTCACTCCCCCTCCCTTCGCCCTTTCTGTTTGTTCATTTACAACGGGCATGAGCAATCTTTGGCGGCACACGGGCCTGATTTACATACTTACTTGATTTCGTAGGCCACTTTTTAATAAAACCCTGGAACTTGATATCAAATTATGCTTAATATCAAACTTAAATTTTGGTACTTGTCATTAAATTTGAATGTTTGAACAAATTTAGAAACAAACAGCTAAAGCTTTGTCTTGTCGGGAGCATCGCTGAGCTGGCGTAATTCCATTAGATTGCCCTAAACTAACGTCCAGATCACCAGCAACCTGACTATTTAGTGATAGAGGCATTGCTCAAAGCTGCGTAGCTGAATTAAAATATAAATAGGGACTGATCAAAATAACAAAGTGAAGTAAAAATGTTTAATAAAAAATTTCAAGATTTATAAGCATTTTTGGGCTTATGGTTTGAAAATAAAGACAACTGAGAAAGGACAGTATTTTGCAGGAGATGGCTGAACTGGACGCACAAAAAGTACGCGGAATTAAAAAAACGAAAAAGAAAATTTGTCGTGCACTATCCAAACGAGAACAAATGAAATTACGTAAAGCACTGGACTCTGTTACCAGCCATTCTTAGTAAATGACACTTTAGTGTTGTTAATTTTGATATAAGTGTTCTGTTGTCAATTCTTTTACGATTTTTTTTTTTTTTCATTCGTTTCGGTGGTAAATTGGTACTGACATATGCCAGGGAGTCAAATTCGCCAAAAGCCAGCTTTTAAGCAATTCTCGTAAAGAAGAATCCATTGAAAGCCTTCTCAGTGGATGGTTACTTTTGGCATTTGCTGCCAATCTGGTTATTTCCAAAGAGATTGGATTTGGAAGGGATTTTGATTTTGAATTTGTTATTATTGTTATCTTAAATTTTGTGACGTATTTATAAGATGCTTTTTTTTTTGTTTTATTCTATGATAAATGATAATCAAATTGAACGATAGTGCTCCACCGGACCGACTAGGCTTCCTCAGATCTTGCGTTTGTGGTACCACAGGAAGACCTGACCGAAAGACAAACCGAATAACAATAGTACGAAGCAATAATTGTCAGAAAGAATCACTAGTAACCTATTTTACAGTTCAGTTGCCCTCACTGATCACTGATTTGAAATATATCCCCAACGATCTAAGTGCCATCTCCCTCGAAACCGTTTTATTCGGCAAATTTCTGTTTCTGTTGCTGCCACGGTGACTTTCAGATTTAGATCCTCTTGCTGTTCATTCTGTTGAATTTTATTCTTTCAGATGGAAACTGAAGCAATTCCATCCAATTTCTGACTTCACTGACAAATAATCATATATTTATTAAAAAACAAGTAATGACAGAAAAAATAGCAAGAATCTGTAACAGTGATGATTTCAAGGACAACAAAATCTATCGCCGAAATGATCGCCCAGTTCGTGGTACTTCGTAGGATTCCAACATCATCAATCGTCATCAGCATCATCGACACCAACATCATCGACATCATCGTCATCGTATTTCCAGCTGTTTAACGGCCACAACCGCAAATTATCACGATCATTGTCCATCGTTATCACAACCCTCTCGTACGGATCAATCTCGCTACTCTCTAGTTCTTCCTTCATATTTCCTTACTACCGTTCATCGTCATAGTGGCTTTCGAATCGAATTTTATCACAGCTCTTCGCGCGATCAACTGCTTGTAACTTCAAGGGCAACAAAATTTGTTGCCGAAGTGATTTGGAATCTCACAGAATCTCATCATCATCGTGTTTCAGGCAGTAAGCCACCATTTTCCATTACTGTTGTTTTTCTCATGAATTTGTTTCCTCTTCTATGGCCCTTCATCATCGACTTTCCAAGTTTCCCACTTGGACCTTTGTCTTTTTCTCTCCATACGGACGGCTTGTTCAGATTTCTGGACCTGTTTTCAGCAATCCAGCGACTTTTCGATATATTCTACAAAAGCCGTGGTAGTAGGAGCGTCTCTCCAATCTGATCACACGCCAAACCTGTGGATGAAAGCTCCCTTTCCTCCCTTCCGTGTGCCTTGCAGTGCCAAACCAACAGACCTGAACTCCCGCTTGTCCATCCCCGCTGGCCCCTCTTGCCATCGCTACTCTTCTTGTTGTTCACTGTCTTCCCCACATCTTCAATTTTTCGGACTGAAAACCGCACATCCAGCTACGATCGTTGCACCGCGGCCGCTCTCCGCTTTGGAAACTTGACAACTGAAAGTAAATGTCCGAAAGCCACTTTTTAAAGCAACTGCAGAGCTCTTAATTTTCGTGCATATTCAAAAATTCTGAAGATTTGCAACACCAGGAAATAAAGCGGTGGTTTTGCTTGCATATATGCAAATCTGCACGCATGTGCACCTTGCCAAGAATCGGCTGATTTTGTGCATAGACTGATGAGTGAAGGCGCTACAGTAGAGACGAATTGAAGAAACGCGAATGGTTTGAGGGATTTTGAGACGATGGTTTGAAGAATTTACAGACTGAAAAAATAGACGGTCCTGGGAGATAAACAAAACTGCCAGCGGATGAGAAGGGGATTGTTTTTTTTTGGAAAATCCAGCTGGCAGGGATACCTCTGACAAACGGAGCGAAAGTGTCAATCATTGGCTTGAACGGAACAAATGTCCCGGGGTTTTTGGTGAAAAATACAAATGAACACATCTATGCTTGGAAAGAACGTTGGAAAACGAAAAAACAGCCAAGGCCGCTTGCATTTCATCTCCACGAAATATCCAGCAAGATTGTTTGAAAATTACATATTCTAATGAATCAGGTGAGTTCCCAATCTGTCTGTTTCATCCCTTAGCTGTAAACACAGATAAAGATTTAAGCCCCTTCGTTATTCAGTTGCATTATGATCCTCGAGACAGAGAACAGTTTGGGATTCGACGGCGATTAGTTCTTCTGTCCCAAATCTTCCCGAACTTTGTTCATTCACAATATGCTTATCGATAATGTCTCACTGTCTTCCGAATGTAATTGCTAGCCGATCGAGGGGCCTGCCGGCGCAGTTCCTTGTCTCGGGTTTCAACCGTTTTACTAATCCGACGCCATAAACAGAAACTCCAGCATACTAATACTTCACAGATATCCCAGTCATAATGGTCACAGTACTAACAGATCTTGGAACTATATTATCGGCATGTTGTTGTACGCATCAATATGTGTGATGCTTTTGCACATTATATGTATTAGAGACATGCACGTATTGAAAGCAAACAATAAATATTTATTGAAATGTTCATGAGAAAACAATAAAACAAAAAGACGGCAGCATAACAAGTTCAACACACAAAACAGTAGTGTAGGAAGTTGACAAAAACCACGAATAACTATGGTTTACAACAGCAACAATTTCACGGACAACAAAATTTATCGCT